CCCACCTCGAGATGGACTATTCAAATCCAGATAAGCTGCGACGGTTCTTCAGTTTATAGTTCCCGGTGGTCGATTCAATGAATGCTACTACTGGGACAGTTACTTTGCATGCCTTGGCCTCCTGGAGCTTGGAAGGCTTGATCTTGTGCGAGATATTCTGTATAACTTTATATTTCAAGTGAAACATTATGGTAAGATTCCGAATGCGAATCGGTCATATTATCTTTGCAGATCGCAACCGCCGTTTCTCTCGGATCTTGCAGTGCGAACTTTCAAAAGCATTGACAACAAGGAAGAGGCTGCTGCAGTGTTACGGGCTGGGATTCTAGCAGCCATCAAAGAATACTTCACCGTTTGGATGTCAGAGCCGCGATACGATCCAACTACTGGACTCTCCCGGTTTAAGCCGCCTGGTAAGGGTATCCCCTTGGAAGTCGAAGAAGGCCATTTCGACGCGGTTCTATACAGCTACGCGGAAAAATATGCTTGTACAATTCCTGAGTTTATTGACCAGTATAACTTTGGGAATGTGAATGAACCTGAACTGGATGAATATTTCATGCATGATAGAGGGGTGCGAGAATCGGGACACGATACGTCGTAAGTCAGCTACTTTGATATAGAGATCAGCCTAGTGTGTTTCTTCCCCCGACGATACTAAGCTACTTCATGCAGCTATCGATTCGACCAAGGTTGCGCGGACCTTGCTACCGTGGACCTAAATTGTCTCTTATACAAGTACGAGAGTGACATAGCTTGGGCCATCAAAAATGTTTTCAATGACAAGCTCCCCATCCCAGCCGAATGGCGCACGCCAGGTATGACAGACGACCACGTCGAAGTATCCGCATCCTGGCTCCAACGTGCCAGCCAGCGCCAGGAAAGTGTAAACAAATACCTTTGGGGCCCTGAGCGGGGAATGTACTTCGATTACAACACAAAAACCCAGAAACGCACTACTTACGAATACGTAACAACCCTCTACCCGCTACTGGTGCGGCATCGCCAGCCGCGAACAAGCCGACTCCCTCGGTTACTAGAGCACTACCCAAATTCGAATGCGTCGGCGGTCTCAGCAACCAGTACCGAGAAGTCGCGCGGCCCAGTCAGCATGCCTCACCGGCCGCCGAAGCAAATGGGATTTTCCATTCGGATGGGCGCCGCATCAGATGCTTGCCTGGGACGGGCTGAAGAGATATGGCCATTTGCGTGAGATGGAAAGGCTCGTCTATCGCTGGCTGCAGCTCATGGTTCGGGTCGCGGTGAATTACCACGGGGCGATTGTGGAGAAGTATGATGTGACACAGCTGGACAATCCTAGCCAGGTCGATGCGGAGTATGGTAATCAAGGGCTGGATTTTAAATATGCGAATGTTGAGGGGTAAGTGTCTCTTCCCTTCCTTATTTTCTCTCCCCTCTCTCCGTTGTATCATTGCTGACACCTTCGTGACGGTACAGCTTCGGGTGGAGTAATGCTAGCTTCTCATATGGGCTATCCTTGATTAGGCATCGGAAACTGATGGTGAAAGCCCTGGGCCTCTGTGTCCCTTACGACGATTTACGGATGGAAAACGCCCATATTTGACATACACAAAGATGTGTCGGCTGCCCTTGTTTCTTTTCTGCGGAAAATTATATACATATGATCATTTTTGGGGAGAATTTCATATATATTTACACGCATGGGAACGATTGTTAATGATGACGATTGACGGCCACTAGGTACGTTTAGATTGGGGCTTTTGGAATACAACTGCGTCGTGGCTCATGACACCTGCATTTCCTGAAGGCCTATATGGCATGTTTTTTTCTGGTTTTAGATTAAATTTTTGTTTTCAAATTTCAATACGGACCTCTTATAAAGTTGTCTTCCTACACACAGATGATGTGGTTGTGAGGAGAGAAGTAATATGGACTGCGGGAAAATATAATATCGTTGGTAATATCAATTTGGGCGATGGTTTGTTCTCCATCGGAACGTACAGAACAATATGAGGCGGGTGGGCATTTTATTCGTGAAATAATAATCAGGACGGGATGGCCCATATTAACAGGACTGCAGAGAGAGATATACGATGATTCTGTGTGATGGAAGCGAAGCTATCAAATGGATGTGGAAATTTTGCTCAAGCGAAATCGTTGCCATACAGACAAATCTGTGGGTTTATTCGTAACAGCCGTGAGCGCGAAAGTATCTCCGGAAATTAACTTCAGTTCTTACAGAGCGTGTCGGCCTGATGAAGTTCATCAGACTCGATCGATGCTGCAAGATCCTCACAAACTACCATCCGGCATTTATCATTCCATGGCTGAAGGAGATTTACCAGAGAATCATTCTGCGATGCACCCGAGACTACCGTGTATTCCAAGTGGCCATCACCGTCCTCCTCGTTTCCACCAAGGATTCGTTTCAGTTGTTTTGGAGCGTCGGTGACGTAAATCATCTTCCAAGGGTTGATTGTAAACGAGCCATCGACATTGCTGTAGAAACGTAGCATGCTTCTGGCCGGTTGAGTTTTCGAGAATCGATCGCCTGCAATGCGCCAGTCAACGATCGATTGGAAAAATTGTGTCACTTCTAGAGCTGCAGGATTCGAAGGAAGTGGCGGGGCTTGGTCGCTCTCATCATCTGGGTTCGGATACTCTGATGGGCTGGCGCTGCCGTAGAACTCAGCGAGCAATAGCCCAATGGTTAACTGGAGCTTCTGGTTTAAATCTTCCAACACCGGATTTACACTCTTCTCGTTTTGCTCCGCTTCCCTTCCAATAACCAGGACCCGTTGCCCTGCTGACTCGGTGGCCAGGGCATGTGCATCTGGCACTGGCGGTGCTGTCACGCCTGATAAAATTTGCGATTTCTGCCGCATATTAAAACTCATCCCGCCAGGTACCCGCTCCACCTCCCAGGTTCCACCCACGCGGGCCGAGAGACTGCCGTTCACCAGTGCCCTGAACTGACGGTACAGCCGCTCTCCAGGCTCCCCCTCCGTTACGTATAGATGGGACCATTTCTTGTCACAGAGCGCGAGGATAGATAAGTCGACAATGCATGATGGGATGGCGCGGGCTGGGCGGACGAGGAAGTCGTAATTAAACCCTTGGTCGTAGCCTAGGAGAATGATGCGGATATCCACACGATTGATGTTGGATTTGTCTAGCAAGGATGTATCTCCAGAAAGCAACTCTTGCTGACTATGCTCGTTACATTCTAACAGTGAGTAGATGAGCGCGTAAGTGTTCAACAGTAAGTCCTGGATGGAGTGAAGGACATTTTCTTCGCATCCAGAGAATGTGTGTTGGCCTTGTCCTAGGGTATAGCCGGGGAATGGAAGCGCAATGTCGCAAGACGCCCGTGTGGAAGAGCGGGCTGCGAGGCGCTTGAGTCTTCGCAAGGCGGCGTCGAGCGGAAGGCGATAGGCGGCGGCGAGTGTAGCGGGGGAGGGAGGTTGCGGAGGCGGGGGCAGCAGGAGCAGGGCAGACAGCGTGCTCGTACTGTTACTGTTGGCCATTGCTGGCCTTGAACATGCGATCGAAGATATGTCACCCTGTGTCGCCCTCGTGGAATGGCATTCAATATGACGCGAGAACAGTTCAATCGAAGGAAGGGAACGCCATTCGATACCTGACAGGGTTTGCTACAGCCCCTGTCCAGGTGCTGCTCGTGTCTGGGATAGTCAGTTAGCCGCATGTCTCTTTGTCCCTTCTTCGATGTTTGCGTGTGGGGGGGCTGGGACACGATGACACGCTCTCTTTGCTGAACTCCACAGCGGACTTGGGCCAGTTACAACTCAAGGCCGTGTTGTGGCTTTTAGTTACGACTGCGGAAGGTATCTCTGCCTTCCCGCACTATCAGCAGTTGACTCGTGAATGGCGATCAGATTGCTTGGCCCGCTCTCCGCTGCTCGCTATATCCATCTCACATTGCCCCTACGTGGTTGGTCGCATTGAGGACGAAACAGAGTGAGCTCTGAACTTCTCATTGTTTTGATTTTTCAATCGCAGGACACTCAGAGGCATTTGTCACGATGGAATTCTATCAGCCCCTTAGAACCTCAGGCTTCCGCTAACACTAGCACATGCATTAGCTTGAGGCAACTGGTCTCAATTTCAACAGACTCTGTCGTTTTACCCAGTGCTAAGTGGTCATGTCACTACTAGTCAGTTTCGAGCTTTGATCCATGTTGGCCTTTGGGGCTGTGAGGGCATAAGGCTTGAAGTCCGTCAAATATGGGATCGTTGAGCCTCCTGAGACCGGCTGCTCGAGAGGATATGTGGTTTGCATTCAAGATGGATCGAACCAAAATTCCATTCCAATCGTCCGACAATCGCATCCAGAGGTCGACCCTTCATATATCTTCCCTCCTAGGCCACGCTACAACTTACCACTTCAGATATGGCTACCGTGGATGTGGTCGAACTCACGGACACGATGACTGACACAGTCGTCGTCCATGGAAGAACAACGTCTGTTGCCTGTTATATCTCCATGACGAGCTGATGAAACCGATTTCGCTAACGTTCCTTACGCAGTGGCGATGGAGAAAAAGTCACAGTAGCAACAGATGCTATGCTTCATCGTTTTGACAGAGACAGGGCAGCCAAGGTTGCCGCAGCCGAGATCGTACCAAAAGCACGAGCTAAACGGCATGCTGCAACGCTTGGTGCTATCCGCAGGCTGTATGAGGAGCGTAACAGCAACGGCATGAAGAACCTGGTTTTCTCTACGCTCTTTAATGGTTATACGCATTTGCCTTCGGATCAGGATCTCCACGACCTAGCTGTGGATCAATTTCCTCCCAGGGCGACGCTCAAGGCTCAGGTCTGCGACTTCTATCCGGACCACGCGGAAGAAAAAGAGGTCGCTCTTGGAGATATTGAATCCCGTATGCCCTTCCGTTTTTCCTTAAAATTGCTGCTCCTCGATGATCATTCGATATAGGCAATCTATTCTAGATCGACAAAAACAAGACATGCTGACTTTTCTCAAGAGTGGCAAGAAAAGCCTCACGGTGTTCAAGTTCGGTGGATGTAAGAGAACCTTGATCATTCCCAGTTTGTGTAATGATCATACACTAATTAATATCAAATAGACATGTCCCAGTTGGCAGAGGAATTTATCATTCCGTAGGTTAAATGTTTCAACGACACTGGTCAGTTGGTTGGAATCGAGTGCTGATTCCAAATATTATCCAGTCTATTGAGGACTTGTTTCGACACGCAAGCAATGAGGAGCCTCGCCCATTTAACAACGCTGGCCATGTTGGTTTTGCGTATGTCGAGCTGGACAATTTGAATTTTCGGCATCGTGAAGAGGTCGAGGATCTCCGAGACACATACTGCTTGCTCTCAAGATTGGACCATCTATCTAGGTCTGCTCCTGATTCAACAGATGATGATTTGTCTCCCCAGACTTCCAAAACATCGACTGGGCCTGAGCCACTAGACTGGGAGTGTCATCGAGGTGATAGAAATCCAAAATTGCGAGGCGACCTAGAATGGCGAGCAGAGCACCTTAACACCGAGCTCACCTTCTGGGAGTTAGTTGCCTCTGACATGCCTTGGCAAATCTCTGATGGCCTCCCAATATGCGCCAGTGGGCCGCTTGGACGAATCAAGCCAGTCATAAACAGCTATGATTTTCGAATTCTCTCCAGTCACCCGGCGTTTCTTGATGCCCAACTCGTTCGGAATGAATTTCGATTTTTCCACAGAAGCGATGGTTCGCTCTCACCTCCCACCCCATCCTAACCCACATGGAACAGCGTACTCAGCCTAACAAGTTTCGTTCATGTAGGCTTTCTTTTGACCATGTCTGCGGCGAAAGGCGTTAACTACCTGGATGCCCGACTACGAGAATATCTCCGGCAGTCTCCTGATGACATCTTGCTGAATCCAGGGGCTTCGGCTGTGGGTCAAACACTGCGGGAATTCGCCTCAACAGGAACGAGCACTTGGGAAAAGCCAACAGCTGAATGGCTTGTTGTCCACCTCGCGACCGAAATAGGCACTTGCCCACACAATGACACTCTGGGCCATAACCAGATTTCGGTGGTGGAAGCCTACCAGGATATTCTTCGTGATCTTGTTTGTAGAAGTGTATCTCGCTCCTCAATCCAAGATTCGGCCATACTGACAAGAATTTATCAGAAACTGCGTACCTATGAACCGTGGAGACGTGACGAGACTGTTCGGCTGATGAGGACTTTTCTGCAGTGCATGGAGGAGATCAGGTTTATTAGCAAGATGCTTGAGTCGAGGCAAAATCTCTTTACTCGGTTGAAGGAAGATATTAAGAAACATGACGAAGAGGATCGAAACCACGGCATACCACACAACCCCGACGGCGAGTCTTGTATGCATAGGGTTGATTGGACTTTGGGCAAAATTCGACAACAGCGTGATGACATTGAAAATATTGCCCACGAAATTAAAAATTCCATGAACGATGTAAGCTGTCCCCTTATCCTACCTGGTTTTAATACTTTGGGGCCCAATGATCGGCTTGTACACTGACCTATATCCTCATGCAGCTTCTCCAACTTCGTACGATCGAACAAAATGAACTCACTATTGTCCGCGACAGCCAGCAGCGTGCAATCATGCTGTTTACCGCAGTGACCGTAATCTTCCTCCCGCTCTCCTTTTGTACTTCCTACTTCGGCATGAACCTACAAGGAATCTCCGACACTGCTCGTTCGGAACGGTACTTCTGGTACGTCTGCGGCACGGCCGGATTTGCCATAGTAAGCGTCATTTCCATTTATGCTTTTTGGCACCCGGTGAAGGATTATTTGATGGTCCTGCGGGAGCAGCGGAAGTCGAAGCGCTTTACAAGGGAAGAGAGGAAGAGAAGACTAAAAAGGAGGATCTCGAGTGAAAATGTGTAGTATTTGGAATTTAGTTGCATATAGATATTCAGTGTTTGCATCTTTTTGATCCGTGTTTTGTTGATTATGTTTTGGGATCGCTTGTATACCATTATTTCAAACTTATTCGCACGATTCGATGTGCCGCCATAAGTTTTTTCGTTCTGCTTTCTTATGGCATGATACGTCCCTGTCTGATTTTAATGCATAGTTGGGTATTTTTTTGTCATTCCTCCTCCTTTTTGAGCTAATTCCGCGAAGCGCACATTTCTCACACAATTTACTCTGTACATATTCCCGACTCTCAGGCCATTTTTCTTGGTCCGTATAAGCAATAATTGTCCCTTATTGGTAGTCCCATTTCAATATTTATTTTTATTTTTATTTAAAAATAACTTAAAGATACTAAAAAGAAGTCCGGAAAGAAGATTCAAGTGGCAAAAGAAGGAGTAATCTGGCCATTGATGTCCTCTCGGCAACGGTAAATATTTAGGGTTTACCGGCCCGAACCTTAAACATTCCTCTCCTTTGGGTCGGGCCGACTAGCGACGCTGGCATTCTAGTTCCCGGTCGAATGTGTCTATGTTTTTCAAAAACCTGAGAATAGTTCACGAATGAGGATGGAGTAATCCATGATTCGAAAATATATGTTATCGTTGGGTTCACAGCTGGGGTTGCTCCCCAGGATCTCCAGGGTTTGGTATGTGCGTATCAGGAAGATGCAAAGAGAGCCTATAGCCGGTAGTTAACCCAGAGCAGCTTCATCCATTCTCATAATTTCGACAAAATGCGGACAGGGGAGGAGACGGTCGTCGAAAACCAGCGGATGGGGCCACATCGCCATCACTGAAAACACTAAAATCGTAATCGAACGAATGAAAGCCTTTTTGACACAAAACATTCTTGATCTCTGCCGGTGCAGAATTATAGAGTTAGTTGACAAGCTTCACCCAGTTCTCATGGGGACGTTTCAAGACGTCTCCTGCACTAAGTGGAGTGGAAGATTTAGTAACTAACTAACGGCAATTTCCTGATATATTGTTGTGTCCTTGCTTGAAAGTTCCGCAATAAAGTGGATTCAGATCCGCCGTTTCGTCTTACAGCATGTATTCACACGGATGTGCAAATATCTGCTTACATAGAGTGGATTGTCACCTTTTACTTCTTACATTAAAAACGTTGCATAAATCGTGGTGTTTGGCTGGATTGTTGAGATGGCCTGTTTCAGCTCTCTCAACGAGGGTCCCGTGGGACTGAATTGAGAATGGCTGAAGATATTGTAACGTTTATTTCATATCTGCATATGATTAGACATTAAGTTATTTATTATTTGGTTCTTCCAATTTGCAGCTCCGAAACAAAATACGGCCACGGTCAGGTTTTCCCGCACCAATATCTGCTTTCCGTAGTATGTAAGCTGTAGTCGATGACGAGATGGGCGAAAAGATGAATCAAAGAAAAACTAAACAAGGTAACTAATTGTGAACGTTTCTAACATTGAAAAAAAAAAAAAAAAGAAAGAAAGGCAAACAAATTTAAGCTTAGAAATGGTAGGCTTCGCCCGGTTTGCTTCTTCATACCAGTCTGCAACCTGTTTCAACTCCTTAAGTCAAAAAGGCTTATTTGAAAACAAAGTAAAAATATTCTATAACTCTAGCCTCCCCCACTTCCCATGTTTATTTGTTCTGGTGTAGACGTGGCATTTGCGGAAGTGCCAAAACTCCTAATGTGCATATAGCGGTTGATGAGATAAGGGGAATAAGAAGAGCGCAACGAAATGAGAAGGTGGAAACAAGGGATTCTAATGGAGATAATGGACAAAATAGTAAATAAAAGGCTGGCTAATGACAAGATAATAAAGACAGAGGCATCAATAGAAGAGTAAATCTCAAAGGAGAGAGAGGTAGATGGAGGGGAAAATTAGAGACAGAGTATTATGTACAAGTAGTCAAGGCAATATTTATTGCTATTCACGAAACATCTGGTCTACCTGCACTATGTCGCTCAAGCCCTGGAGGGTCAGATGCATCTTCAGCGTCAAAGCCTCTCATCTCACCAACCGTGCCGGGAGCGATGAATGGTGACGAACTTAATTCCCCATCTTCTGGGGAATATAGAAGCGGCGCCCAAATTCTCCAATGCAACACTCCGATATGGGCCAGGCGTTTTCCAATCCACTGGATATCGGGAATCTGCGGCCACGACACAAAGTCGGGTTGTTGGTGGAGGTGTTGGGAGTCGGCTATTTCAAGCGCGCTCATACGCCAGTACTGCTTCGCGGTGTTAAGGGCAATACTTTTCAGCTCCTGTTGAACGCGATCGCGGACAGCTTCAAAATGCCGGTGCCTGGGATGAACCTGATTTGATACAAAGTGAATGATGCGTTCGTCCGGATACGTAACTAAACTTCTTTCACCTCGCATCATCTGAGCCACTCGTGCAATTTCCAATGCTATATTCTGCATATTGGCTTCGAATCGGGCAATCAATGGGTGTCCAGATGGATCATTCTCGCAAGTCGCGTGTTCGCCATATTGGATGATTGAGAGTATGCGGGACTGAAGCGAGCAGTATATCGTGGACGAAACGTCGCCACCAACAACACTGTTGAACGCGTGACAACACACTTGAAGTAAAGCGAGAGTCTCGATGTTATTTCGAATATTATAAAGTCGGTCGAAATCAAGCGCAAAGGAATCTGGAAAACGAATAGTCCGGTCAAAGGAACAGAGAATGGACGATAAGCCTTCGAATAAAATTTTTGCAGATTCAAAATTATTGGGGACTTGTTGCGAACTGAGATTGCACCGTCGTCGGTGCATAATATACCAGTTTTTCGAATTTTGAGCTTCCTTCAAAGACTGTTGCGACTTTTTTATGACGAAATCGTAGTGTTTTCTGAGATACTCAACAGAGTCTTCTATCAAATATAGTCGGAACGCACGAATCTGGTGATTTGCCACATCCTATATTCCAATAGGTCAGTGGCTGCTGCACCCTTGGATCTAGATTTAGGGGAGCGCTAATACTCACCAATTTCATTGATTCAAGTATGACAAAAAGTTGATGAAGACCTTTCGATACTTGATTCATATCTTGCAATTGATAGCCATTTCGAACTTGTTCAACCATGTCATCCGCCATTTGATCCCTCATTGGCGCACAATGTGTTTTCAATAGAACGGCAAGCCATTCAGCAAGTCCGACCAAATTTAGCACCCCTTTTTCGACCTGTGCCACGAGGAACTTGGTCTCTAAGTGTTCTTTTATACATGAACGTTCGCGATCGGGAACAAGAGTCAGTAATATTTCTCTCAGTGTATCGAGCATGTTCGGTAGTCTTGCTCGGAAGACTTTGTGAGAATGAGAAGCGTTGCGGACCCAGAAAGACAAGTCGATGTTGTTGTAAGCGCCAAAGGTAAATATCGAAATTTCGATGGCTACCGCGTGCCAATACTCATTTGCCATTTTTGCCTTTACCGGGCCCCCAACAGGTCGAAAATGGAGATCCTTATCAAAATTAACATCCATACGAAGCTGGGTGTTTTTCATGATGGCATCCAGACCAAGTTCAGAGAGCGAATCCGCCGTCACTGGCGGGGATTGGCTGGCGTGCTGTAGTAGTGCCACTTCTTCCGGCGTAAGTCCCATCTGAGGTGGAACCAGCATTATTTTGCTGTTTACGTCGGTGGCTGAGGAGTGAGGTGATGGATGGTCACCTTCGGTTGTCGGCGACGGCGCCCTAGGAGAGCTTTCATTCATAAGAGCAGGTGAATGATCCCCACGCGGAGACTGTGAATTTTCGTGCAAGTCCCCCAGATCATTTTGCGATACATTGTTTGAATCATTGGCGACGTAGTATGATTTATTAGAAACATCTTCACTCTCCCCGTGCGCTCTTCTGTCTTCGTTTTGCAGGCCCGTCTCCATGTGGAGGAAATTACTGAGTTCGAGCTTCTTCTAGAAGGAAATGGGTATAATATGTTTCTACCACCTAAAATGTATTTTCTCCCCGACAGTATCGCGCTTTGATAAATATAAAGACTGCAACAGATGGCTCAGTATCTGCTGGAACGTCGGTGAAGCTGTTTAGAGCGACAGTTCTGGAAATATCTTATAATAATAATCCAAAAACCAAGACCACCTTTTGCAAGAGAGAAATTGCTATCGTAAAAGTTTGCAGGTGTTCGGCAAGTTGGTTTGGAAAGACGTTGCTTTGAGCGTTCGAGGTGTGTGCAAGGCACTGTTAAAAGAAGAAGGGGAAAAGTAATTATAACTTAACAAACGAAAGGACTTCAATAATCAATTGAATAAATAATCGAGTAAATAAACCGATGATTAAAATTATGTGAGAGTTACAGCGTTTAGTAGTCAACGTTGATGTAATTTTGAACATCGGGTTGAAGCGCACACATTCAGGGCTTGGAAACAGGGCAGCGAGCTAGCCGAATCTAAGGATCAAAGAGAGCAATAATCGAGAATTGCCACTTTGCTCCAGTTTGCTTGGATATATTGTAAAAGTGAGGCTGCCAGCCGACGCTGAAACCTTACCTAACTAGTCAAGCTGACTACCGGGGATCACCCAATCTGCGAACAGTTCAATGGAGAATTCGCCATGTCCCAGTTTCATTCTCCATTATTAAGGCCAAACATTATGCACGAGGTGTATCTTGATGCTGTGGCTCGTCCATATTGGTGGTGAATCTGGTAAACACATGCTGGAACCGGCATATTTCAATCACTACAATATTTTGGATGTCTTGTCTGGACCAGGGATTGTTGGGTGCTTAGAATTTCCTCTCCATTTCATGACTGCCAATTTCAAGATGTAGTGGCCATTGCAGAATTCTTCGGATGGCCGGCAATCAGGGAATGCAGCATTGAACATCCTACTGATATGGATGCTCCTGAAAAATGAATGATTTAGATGTGCTGGTACCCGCCATTAGGGTGCGAAAGTAAACGCCTATACTATTGAGTGGAGTTGGCGGTCGCGACTTGGGGCCTGTTGCAGGTGGTGGTGGAAGATTGATCGTCGAGAGGCGACTGCGCTTAAGCCACAAGCCATCATATCCCGAGTCTCTCTTCATTTTTTTCTTCATTCCAACGATGGAATATTACTGAAGTTGTAATTTATAGCCAATTTTCCCCGTCGGCCAGCAGCTCTCGAAATCTGTTCGCCCTTCATTTTGTACCAGCGACGAATGGGTAAAAAGTTTATGTTTTTTAACCAATGCGGCCTGTCACAGAATGTATCATCAGCCATTTGCCGATTGAAAATACGGTTGGGACGTACATGTACTTCGAAGGTACTGTACATTGAGCATGTAGAAGCATGTTTGTCTTTGATTCCCATATCCAATCACCCACACCCATACAATCCCCGCGCGCAAAGGGATCATAACCAAAGATTAAAACACTGCAACATTTTCTGATATGCGTCAAGGCAAGTCTTTGAGATTACCATCTTACCCCACGGATGGTTTGTGCAAAAATTCCCTGGGATGGTACTACACTTGGCCATCTTATCAAGGATGGCAAGATGCAAGTAAGTTGTGCAATTAGAGAGAAAGTAGTTGCCGATTTCAAGTGTGACCGGGTGGTCACTCATTAGATTCGGTGAACTTAGGAGTCGAGACTGCGTTGCTGTTGGCGCATCTGCCACTTTTTTCTCTTTGCTTTTTCTGTTCCCTACAACTTTTTCTTTTTCTGCTTTCCCCCCCTTGAACATCGGGGTAACTCAACAAACGACCTCCGTTTGTCCATCATAATGAACAAAGAAAACAAAGGCTGGTCCATGTTCCTTGGAGATAAGGGTTTTTCACCATTATATCTCTTGTCTATTTGGATAATAGTCAGATCATTTTCTTTATAACCATCTCTTTGACGGAAATGATGCATGGAATAAAAATAAAAGGGGAGAGTCGGACAACTAGACAAGGAATTAAATGTGGCCAAATAAAGACCAGTGGTGAGTGGCGCAGAAAGAGCAAGTAGAAGTAGGGAAGATTCCGCTGTTCAAAAGAATTCAAGTTGTGTTGGATGGTTCCGACACATGGAGTAATCCTCAAATAAGAACAGGAAAACGACTCGCCTCACTTTTCTTTCCTGTCCTGCCTGCATTTTTCGAAAATAGCCCCCACAATCTCTTACTTCGCAGCATCTGGATCCTGAGCCTTGACGACAACCGCAACTCGAGCAGCATCCATAGCGTCCCAACAAAAAAGTAGCGGTGGAGTTGGGGAGAGATCCCGTCGTTGAGGAACGGCGAGGCGGGTAGGGCGTAGGGCTAGGGCCGGAATGGTCACGTGCAAACTTACCTCATACTCGTAGTCTCCAACGGCATTTGATATTCCCTAGCATGCCCTTCTGCAAGACTGTCCTCTTTAATAAATTGATCTCCACTCTCAGGGAGCCGGAGCCCCTCTGTGGTGCCGCTTGACATGATCGGTCGTTAAGGAAGTTTACTAGTATGATACGACTGGGCCAAATCATTCTTCGCTACCAACAAGTTCGATACCAATAGGATATGGCGGTTGTTATCTGCCTTGGGGTCTCTGGATTATATCCCAATCTGATCCCGGATCGCAAGTCGGTCACGTCTAGCAAGTTCAGCGCATCTTTGAACGCATTCTAGGGCAGTCCGCGAAGTTCCTGGGTTTTAGATGCGGGTTGCCGTGCTGAAGGACAATGTTAAAAGCGACCTGATCTGATACACCCTGCTGTACCATATGTTACGGAATCTCGTACCACAAACTGGTCAATTTTTCTATTCAATTTCTTGTGGATGAGTTCATGCCGAATTGCCAGGTGACATCTCGCTTTCGGAAAAGGCGTTCAACTGACGTTGGCGATTCTAAGAGGCATCGCATGCTACATCGACGTTCCTCCATGTGGGACAAAATTATGCCGTTTGACGATGCCGCCCACCAGGCTCCATTAAATTTATTTACGTATTTGTTTTAATTTCAAAGCCCACGCTGACACCTGAGGCTTTAGGTGTATGAATTGCTCCAGGGCTTAACTTTTTTCTACTTCACCGG